GGGTTCAATTGAGATCAGGGATCACATGCTTCTATGATAAGAATAGCTCCTATTGTGTGTTTTTCTCTAGATGTACTGAACAATCCCTATGTGGGGTTGAAATAATTAACTGGAAAAGTTGATCCAAAGCCTCAGATTCACAGGGTACTGACAACAGAAAGGTGATTTAGGAATCTGAAGATCATTGTAAGAGGGATGTTCTTATCATTGACCATAGCCTCTTGCCTGGTAGAGGAAGTGATCTGAAGACAGATGCAAGAAAAAATGGAGAATTAAGAGACTGGAGATTTATACTGAAAAGGTCTAGGAAGAAAGATAAAAGAAAGCTATAAAGTGAAAGACGATATTTATCCAAAATAACAATAACATAACAAAAGCAATAAATAGCAATTGTGTATTAAGCAATCATATGTGACAGGCAGGGCTTGAAATGTTTTATTTTGCATATTATTGTCATGATGACCCTATCAGGTAGTTATTATTGTTAGATTTTTTTTTCAAATAAGTACTGAAAGTTGAAATAACTTTTAAAGATTACAGAGCCAATAAATGGCAGAAAACACATTTTTTTCTGTTTTACTGTGAAGGCCAAAGTCAAAGACAAAAGGATAATAGTTTATTTATTTTGGCAGGGGGTTACCAGGGATTGAATTTAGGGACACTGACAACTGAGCCACACCTGCAGACCTATTTTGTATTTTATTTAGAGACATCTACTTTATTTTTTTTTATTGGTTGTTCACAACATTACAAAGCTCTTGACATATCATACTTCGAACAATAGTTTCAAGTGAGTTATGAACTCCCATTTTTACCCCAAATACAGATTGCAGAATCACATAGGTTACACATTCACATTTTTACATAATGCCATACTAGTGACTGATGTATTCTGCTACCTTTCCTATCCTCTACTATCCCCCTCCCCCCATCTTCTCTTTCTATCCCATCTACTGTAATTCATTTTAGAGACATCTACTTTAACTTTATCCCAATTCACTCCATACTCCTTTCACTAAACTCTGCCTTCCAAGTCTTCATTTATTTTCTCCCCACCCACTTCCCTCTTTTTTCCATTAAACCCCTTTCCTTTGTAAATAAACTCTATCATGCCTTGCACGGTGGTGCATGCCTGTAATCCCAGAGGCTCCAGAGTCTGAGGCAAGAGTTCACAGCCAGCCTCAGCAAAAGTGAGGCATTAGGTTACTTAACTTCCTTTACTCTACTAGTATTCCTTTCACTCAGTTTTATTTATTATACATGCCCATAGCTAATTTTGTCAAATTCATTCTTCATTTTCTCCCATTTCATATCCTCTTCCCCACTTCTTGATCTCTTCCTGTTCCTCTCATCTTCCCTATATCTTTATAATATCCAAGATCTTTATTTTGCTCTATCAGAAGTAATTCAATTGTTGATTTTCTTAATCTGGCTAATTTCACTCAGCATGATGCTCTCCAGTTTCATCCATTTAATGGAAAATGCCATCAATTAATTCTTCTTTATGGCTGATTAAAACTCCATTGTGTATATATGTTATATTTTCTTAACCCATTAATCTATTGAAAGGCTGGTTCCATAGCTCAGCTTTTGTGAATTGTCCTGCTATAAACGTTAATGTGGCTATATCATTATACTATGCTGGGTTTTGTTCTTTTGGATAAATAATAAGGAGTGGGATAGGTGGAACATATGTTTTTTCCATTCCTAGATTTTTGTGAAATCTCCATATTGTTTTACCAGAGTCTTTGAGCTAATCCTCAAATTATATTCTGGTGCCATCATCATTAGGACCGCTATAGATGATTCTGTAAAATGAATTTTTTTTAAGTAGGGATTTGATCTAAGTAGCATGAAGATGAATAATAATAAAACAACTTTTTATTTCTACCTGTTTCCTTTACTGTCCTCCATCTTCTCAAAAGAAAAAGAATAATTATGGCATTGTCAATTGCTTTTGCACTACAACCTATGTTTTGTTTCTTAATCTTCTTGGTACCAATGCATGCATCCCCTATACCTGGAACTTAACAGAATCACAGGGTTGAGATTGGAAAGCATAGATTCCCTTATCCTTCTCTTAACTACAGGTTTACAAGTAATATATGTTTTTTTCATAAATGGTAATGTATATAGTATTTATCATTTACCTTGTGCTTTTTTTTTATTGGTTGTTCACAACATTACAAAGCTCTTGACATATCATACTTCGAACAATAGTTTCAAGTGAGTTATGAACTCCCATTTTTACCCCAAATACAGATTGCAGAATCACATAGGTTACACATTCACATTTTTACATAATGCCATACTAGTGACTGATGTATTCTGCTACCTTTCCTATCCTCTACTATCCCCCTCCCCCCTTACCTTGTGCTTTTTGTTTTTATAAAAACCAAGTACTTTTTTTTATTACTTATGTATATACAAACAAGGTCAAACTTTTAAAAAACATTTTTATTAGTGCTCCATAGTTACAGATAGTGGAGTGCATTTTGAAATACTTATACATGCATGTAATATAATATAATATAATATAATATAATATAATATAATATAATATAATATAATGCTTTTTTACAATCCCCATTACTTAGCTGGTGTAGTGACACATGCCTAAAATTCAGTGGGGTTGGGGGCACTGAGGCAGGAGCATCAAAAGTTCAAAGCCACTCTCAGCAATTTAGTGAGGCCCTGCCTCTAAATGAAAAATATAAAAAAGGACTAGGGATATAGCTCAATGGTTAAGTACCCCTGGGTTCAATCTCGATTACTTCCACTTTCTCTTCCTTCCTCCTCCAACTTCCCTTCATCTACTGGCTTTCTTTGTACTTTACCTTTCCTTCTTTCCTTCCTTCCTTCCTCCCCCTCTCCCTCCCTCCCTCCCTCTCTCTCTCTCTCTCTCTTTCTTCTTTCTTTTTGTAATTTGTACCTAATAGATAAATGTGCAATTCATTGTGATGTATTCATACATGCACATGGCACGATTTGGTCAGTTTCATTTCAGTTCATCTACTTTCCCATGCCTCTTTCCTCCCCTTCAAGTCCCTTCCTCAACTCCACTGTTCTCCTTTCATTTTCCTAGGATTCCCTTTCCTTTTTTTAATTCTAATTTTTCTCTAGCTTTACTGCATATGAGAGATAATATTCAAATTTTTGAGTTAGACTTTCATATCTTTCAACATGATGGTCTGTAGTTCCATTCATTTACCAGAAGATGGAATAATTCCATTTTTTATAACTGAGAAATCTTCCATTGTTTATATACACATTTTCAATATTCCTTCATCTGTTGATAAGCACCTGGATTGGTTCCATAATGTGGCTGAATTATACTGCTGTAAACCTTGTATGCATGTATCGCTATAAAATGCTGATTTGAGTACTTTTTGATTAATAACAAGGAATGGGAAATCTGAGTTATATGGTGGTTTCATTTTTAGTCTTTTGAGGAGTCTCCATATGCTTTCCAAGGTGATTGTACTAATTTCTAGTCCCACCAACAATGTATGAATGTACCTTTTCCCATACATCCTCACCAGCATTTATAATTATTTGTATTCTTTATGATTGTCATTCTTACTGGAGTGAGATAAAATCACAATGTCACTTAAATTAGCATTTCCCTATTGCTAAGGATGTTCAATACTTTTCACATATCTGCTGGTAATTTTTTTATTTTTCCTTTCGAAAAATGTTTGTTTAATTCATTTGCCTTTTATTGATTGGGTTATTTGAGTTACATTTGTTTTATATGTATGTATTAAATTTTGTTGTTGAGTTCTTTATATATTCTGGATAATAATGCTCTGTGTGAAGTGTAGCTGGCAAAGATTTTCTCTCATTCTGTGTGTTCTCTCTTTGTGCTCTTAATTGTTTCATTTGTTGTGCAGAAACTTTTTTAATTTGATGCCATCCCATCTATATATTTTTGGTTTTATTTTTGAGCTTGTTAATATCATGTGTTGATGTTAATGTTCAGTATTGTTAATGCAGTTGGTGCCGGAAATAATGTGTTAGAATTTTGACTCTATGTTCTCTTGTAGCATTTTCACTGCTTCTGAAACCATAGGTTTTTGATCCACTTTATGTTAATTTTTGTTCAGGGTCAGAGATAGAGATAAAATTTCATTTTTCTACATACAGATATCCAGTTTTTCCAGCACCATTTGTTAAAAGACTATCTTTTGTCCAACATATATTTTTGGTATGTTTATCGGAAATTGAATCCAGGGCCGCCTAACCACTGAGCCACATCCTAGCCCTTTTTATATTTTATTTAAAGACAAGGTCTCACTAAGTTGTTTAGAGCCTCAATAAATTGCTGAATCTGGCTTTGAACTCAGCCTCCAGCCAATGCAATTATTGGTGTGCACATTATGCCCAGCCTTGAAAAACTTTTCTTAGAAAGGCATTTTATATTGGGAATAATACACTGAGTATTATTTATGGAAAATAAAAAACTAAGGCACTTTTTGCTATTATAGCTTCTAAGAAATGCATATCAGAGGAGGTTCAGTTAATGCTAATAATAATTCAATGATTACTTATGCCCTTTAAACTGGAAATACAATGTTATAAACTGAATTAAATAGACCGAATTACAAAATCCCAACCTCCTAAAATACTGCCACTCTATATGATTAATCATCTACACATCACAAGGTTTTAGGTGTTGATATCTAGGATATCTTATTCTGGATTAGTTTTATTACAAAGGCATGGGTATGTTACACCACTGATTTACACTCAGCTTTGCTGTTATTTTTGTTATGAAATATATCAAAAATTTCAGGGAAAGTGTTCATTAAGTCTTGTTGTAACACATCCTATAGTATGCCTTAACATAATGAGAGAAGTTTAGAAATATGTCTGAAATTCAAAGTTATAAAATCTTATGCTGTCTCCTTAGGGGGGAAAAACTAATATTGCTATGCTTATGTTGTCTTCTAGTATTAAAATAACTGATGTTTACAGTGAAGTTCATTTGCCTTTTTCAGATCAGTATTTTCATGACTCATTTGTCTAACTATGGGAATGACCGACTGGGATTATATACATTTGTTAATCTGGCCAACTTCATGCAGACCTGGACCAACCTGCGTCTTCAGACTCTGCCACCAGTGCAACTGGCTCACAAGTATTTTGAACTCTTTCCTGATCAGAAAGACCCTCTTTGGCAGGTAAAATTGGTTCAATTATTAGTACAACTAATGAATCCCATGATCAAATTGTGTACCTCTATGAGATATTCCAAATCCGAAAGAGTGAAGGCATCTGAAAAAAAAAAAAAGTACATTTGGGAAATGCTAGTGTACCTGAGAAACTGTTTCTTTCATAATTGTGGTCTTATGTTTTGCTCCATATTAACCTGGATTCTGTTTTATTGATCCTTAGAAATTATGGTGTTTTCAGTGGGAAATTCAGTGGATATAATGTTTTCAATCAGGAGTGAGATATCTATTTGCAGATTTCAATAGGTTGAAAGAGTAGAAGATTGTAAACAGGTTTTGTGCTAGGCAGATAGTCAACCAGTCAGCCTTTAACACATCCTCTGATCTATAAATGACTAATGCACATTAAAGGGTCTCAGAGAAGCATTCCCTTCTGACATCTGCTTCCTGAACCACAAGGCTTGTAGCTACAGAATAGTAGTTGCTTTCAGAAATATTATTTGTGGATTATTTTGGACCCAGGGAAGGTGACATGTTTCATGGATAAATCACTGAACTTCTTAAGAAAAAAAAATCACATTAAACTTCTCTAGGGATATAACCAGATTTCAAAGCACAGTTATGTGTTGTAGAACTGTGGGAACCATGTTGAACCAAAATTTTCTATGACATAACTTGTGAAAAGAAATAATCTTAGCAAATAACTTAATATACTTATTATTTGTCACATTGGGCTCTTCACATCTGTTAATTCATTTAACCAACACAAATGTCGATGTGGTAGGTATAGTTGTTATCCGCACTTTATAAGTGATCATACCAAGTCAAAAACAGGCTGAGTCAGTTAAGCAAAGTGACATATCTACTGTTGTTGCAGAAAATGAAACAGTTCCATGCTTGCTGACTCCAGAGGCTGTGCAGAGCTGATGACAAAACAACACAGTCTTCAGAAGTAAAACTCAATATATTCACAAATTGAAGTTGTGGTCAACTTTGAACTCTATATTAAATCCATTCAGCCATGACCTGAAAACTAATTACTCCTTGAGGATAAACAGATAATTCCAAGAAGAGACATAACTATATTTAGCAGGTTAAAGTTGGTGGTTGTGGAATTATAGCTGCATATTACTTTTTAGTTGTTATAACAAGTATCTTTTCATCTTACTACTACAAAAACATCATCAAATGTTATCCACTGGAAAGACATAAAATTTTCCTGCTTATTGAACACCTTATTTTTAAACAAAATCATTTCTTCAAATAACAAGTTTAAAATAACATTTTTTCCAAACAGCAATATGAATATTCTCACCTTAGTCTTTACTAAAAAACCAGATTACAGTATTAATTGAATATAAATTTAAAAATGGTCCTGTTTGCCCAGTCTTGACATAATATTCAGGGATACTATAATTCTTCCCAATTCACATAATATTACATAATAAAACTTTGAAGTTAAAAATTAGGGATAGTCTAGATATATCTTACACAATGGATATTGGTTTCAAGTTATTATAAGTATAAAACAGAATATTAAAAGTAATTCACCTTCATTTTACCCATTTTCTAAAATTTAGTACTTTTTAACATCATAGTCTGTAAAGTTACATTTTTAGATAGACATTACAAATCTTTGAAGGCATCTGAAGGGTTGGCTATCTCTTTAAATATTATAATAATGATTAGATCCCTATCCGTTTGAAGCACAGTTTGAAGCACAGCAGGGAAATCCCTTTGAAGCACAGCATGGAAGCTTAAAGTTACTTAGAATAAAAATCTGACACTTAAATTCATTTATTTATTTAATATTGATATTGAATTAGTCAACTTTTAGTTTGGCAGGAAATATAGTCTGCTCAACAAGCGCTTCTCTATCTTTCTCTCTCTCTCTCTCTCTCTCTCTCTCTCTCTCTATATATATATATATATATATATATATATATATATATATGCAAAAAAATTAGAACATAGAACTGTTCAGTAACAGAAAAAATGTTAAACTATAAATACTATGAGATTTTATATAGAAATATATAAATATATTAAATAGAAATATATCTCCTCTCCCACCTCCTCACTTTCAGCTTCAGTATGAAAAGACACCTGTCATGCCATTTCAGGACTTTCGATTAAAAAAATTAAAAACCAAAAGAATTGTCTTTGTTTATCTTGTTGCTTCCTGTGATATCTTCTAGGGATAAAAGTTGAAAACGATAATACACAATAAACATATACAAATACATCTCTATATTCTTCAATTTAGAATCCTTGTGATGACAAACGCCACAGAGACATATGGTCAAAGGAAAAAACCTGTGATCGCTTACCAAAATTCTTAGTAATAGGACCCCAGAAAACTGGTAAGAACTTTAATGCTATGATTAATCAAAGAGTGTAAAAATATAAATGACTAGACAGTGAATTCTTAAACTTCCTATAAAACTGATGGCTAAATAACATGTTATCTTCTTACATGATCTTTGTTTAGTTCAGTATAGACTTAAGTATTTTGTCAAAGTGTTTTTTTTTAATGAAAAGGATGAGGTAGATGTCATACATTTTGAATATCCAGCAGTTAATTTGGTGGAACATATCATTTTTTCCCAAAGATCTTCATTGAAAAACGTTAACAGAAAGGAAAACTAATCATGTGTTTAGAAAGTGTGACAGGAGTCTGTCAAAAGTCAACAGGAACACATATAAATACCTAGTACTCTATAATAAACACCATCCAGTACTCTATAATAAACTCCTCTTTAGTCTACCATCTCCATGATATAATTTATTTGTAAACAATATCTTGCAGAGATGACTAATTTTTAAAAGTTTAAAATATAGCTGACAAGCAGAATTCCTATACGTGAAACAAAAAAGTTTGTGCTAAAAAAGGTATTTATTCATACCCAAGAGAAATCTTTTGTACCATTTCCTGAAATTGGTATGCAATTTTTTCCATAAATTTTTTGTTTTTGTAAGAATCAGTATTAAAATGAAGCCCAATGGAAGCTTTAAAATGCCAGACATTTAAAATGTATCCTGCGTGATAAATTATTGAGGCTCTTGGATTCTGGCTTCATGGAAAACAGCCATTTCAACTGCATTGTTGCTATTTCACTCAGGAAAAAGCTGAAGAGAATTCTATGCAAGGTCCACAGAGAGTTAAGTATTTTAATTTTTTTTTCTTAGTCCCATTTGCAAATATCAATCTGAAAACAGTATTGATGATATTTTTTCTTTGTGCTTATTTATTTCACTTGTCTTTATCTATCTAAAGTCAAAAGACATCTAGGAAAACATTGAAACTGAAGCCTTTTCAGTGAACTCCCACTGTCATCAAATAACCTTGTCAGTAATACAAGGATAAGTACATCTACTCTCTGAAGCTTGACATACCACGTTTGCTTCAGGAAGCCCTGCAGGGGATGCTTCCTCTTATGCTGGGCTGGATAAACAGGTATTTTAATATTATGGTTAGATGGCAGAATTATTATTTCTTATTCTAAACTCAATTTGGTTTCCAAGTGTATATGCTATTATTTGGATATGACATTTGTCTTTGGAAAATAATATTGAAAATTATTCCCTTTCATAGAAATTGATTTTTCCCCATATTATTGAGATATAATTTACTTACATTAAAATTCAACCATTTTAGATGTCAATTTGATAAATCTTGTGAACTGTAGTTACATAATTACCACCACATTCAAATTATAGAATAGTGTTGTTCAGAACAATTCTCCATATCCCTTGCAGCCAGTTTCTCTAAGCTGCATCATATCCCCAGCCAAAGGCAACTACTTTCTATCACTGTAGTTTTACCTTTTTTAGAATTCCATATAAATGGAACCATACTGTGTATAGTCTTTTGTATTTAACTTCTTTCATTTATCATGATACTTTTAAGATTCATTCATTCTATCTATATCTATCAACATTTTATGGAACTGAATATTTTACTCAGACAAAAATATTTCCTCAGATCAATCCCATAAGAACTAAATAGCTTTATTTTCCCACACTTTGTTGTGTGTGTGGTGGGGGAGGGAGGGTACTGGGGATTGAACCCAGGGACTCTTTACTGCTATATTGTAAAGTACAATTGTGTTACATCTCCAGCCCTCCCCTTTAAAAAATTTATTTATTTATTTTCCTTTTAATTTTGAGACAGGGTCTTGCTAAATTTCTGAGGGTCTCGCTAAGTTACTGAGGCTAAACTCGAACTTGCATCCTCCTCCCTCAGCTGCTAGAGCCTCAGGCATGCACCACACTAAATAACTTTAATTTTTACTTCAGTTTTGTCACAAGTATTTTCCTGGTTAATTTTGTATAGATTTTTGGTTATCTGGATATTCAAATACTTTTGAGTGTTTTACGGTGACAAAAAAATAAATAAAAACTAAAGCTTCACAGTTTTTTTTTAATGTATATAACTATCATTATGTACTTGATTTACTATTGAATGTATATACAAATCAGTTTATCCAGCCCAAATAATATGTGTGGATAAAGATGGAATTCAGAAATCATGTATCTGTTTTTTGACCACTGAAAAATTATACCTTTTATTGACTATGAAAAATAATTACATTATATTTATTTTTTCTGTTTGTTTAATTGATGCTGGTCATGAAACTCTATTTTAAAAAGCAATAATTCTTAAAAACAAAAATCAGAAAAGAGTGTTTTTCCAAAATATTTCAGGAAAGAATCAATGTTTATTTTTATATTATAATATTTGTGTTTTTTATTTTTATAAATATTTATTCTTTTCATTGAAAATAAAAAAGACACTTAGGACTGAGGATATAGTTTAGAGGCAGAGTGTTTGTATAGCATGCATTAAATCCTGGGTTATATCCCTAACAACAAAAATAAGTTAATTAATTAATTAAAAGGATGTATGCTTTTTTTCTGAATGGCATCTCAACTATATTATTGAGATATAAACATATTTAGTATTTTTACTTATTTAAATTCTAAATCACATTCCAATGAATTTATTTTTAAAAATGCTTTACAAATACTCAGATATGGCACTAAATAGGTAATACTTCACAGATTATCTCACTTGACTTTGATCAAGTATTTTCTTCTCCACTACACATATCAGTAAACTGAGATCCAGAAAGTTAAATAGCTTTTGTTCAAGTTCACATAGCTGATAAGTACTAGAAACAAAACTTTTGACTTGGATTTGGAGTCAGGATTTACCTGACTCCAAATAGCATGCTGTTTATACTTTACTGTAAATGTCAAATACTATAGAAATTTTCCCCCAATAAGTTTTGTGTATTGCTTAACATTTCTTTTAATTCAGTGATTTTCAAAGATGATCACCAAACCAACAGCCAAAGTATCACCAGATAGTTTGTTAGAAGTGCAAATTCTTTTTTAAAATATTTTTTAGTTATTGTTGGACATAATACCTGAATTTATTTATTTCTGTGTGTACCAAGGATTGAACCCAGGGCCCTGCACATGCCAGGCAAACACTCCACCACTGAGCCACAACCCCAGCTAGACAAATTCTTGAGCCACACCACAGTATGGCTCAATCCAGAAATTCTGGGATAGGTCCCAACTATCTGTGTTGTAACAAGCACTCTAGTGAATCTGATATATGCTAAAAATTGAAAATTACTATTTTAAGTGAAACTTGTGAAGAACATTTTTACTTTGTATATCATAGATATATATTTAATTTCCTACATTTATTTGTGATTATATTTAAAACGTTCATTGTTTGGCTCAGACGTAATCTAGAAACACTATTTCTTTCAATTAATTTACCTGTCAATATTCAATTAGTTGAAAAATAGTAATTTTAATGATTTTTCTATTGATGGATATGGTAGATTTAAGTATAATACTACCGAAAGCTTATCAGAGATATAAGAAAATTCAAACTTCTGTGCAAATGGCAACATGACAGTATTACAAAGCAAAATTCGAACAGTAATTTCTCCAGTAAGAGAAATATTGCAAGATCATGTCTGATTGCTATTTCTATGTATCAACTTGGAATACAGTTAACAAAGCCTATTCCATCAGATTGTAAAAATTATGAGTCACAGTAAAATAGAGAAGTAGAATCTGTAGTATATTTTTTCTCCCAGGAGTACTGAATATATAGTACAGAAAATTTTTTATGTTGTGATTTATAAACACACTCACAGTTTTAAGTACATGGTTAAATCTTTGAAAAACTGAACCTAACCTGTCTCCCTTTCTTTTGTAGATGTATGACTAAGCTGCATGCTCTACCTCTTAATTTAGACAAATAAAATAGTAATCTTTAGCTTATGACATTGCTCGATTAAAAAAATTCACACCCTTGTTCCACAATAGTTGCAAATTTACATGGATTCCTAGGATACACAATTCTCTGTTCAATAAATTGTTAATATTTTAAGTTATGTCAATAAGAAATGATACTAATTTTTTTCAAATTTAACAAGTTAAACAATATCTATATTACTGTTATAAATATGAAAGAACACTCAAGTTTATGATGACTTCTTAAAAGATTTAATTCTGTTTAATTAACTTTCATCAACTTTAGCAAGAACTTTTATAGGAGAACCAAACTATTCATTTTGGTAAAGTAATATATTGACTAATAACATATTTTATTTATACAGTACTATATTAAGTTAAAATATCTTCAGGTCCATTATGTCTTTCATCCACTGAGAAAACACATGAAATATACAAGGATTTAAGAAAAGTGAAACAAAAAGAAGCTAAAAGCCAGTACCACAGACCAAATCAGTGATTGAACTAAAATGAAAAGCTGATTCTCTTAATCCCTGAAAGAGGCTTCTTCTCACATCCCTTTATCTCCATTTTTTAGAACATGTTTCTTTTTATTTTTTTTATTTTTATTTTTGCTTCAAAATAATATGTGGTAGAAACTGAATATGAGTTTTTGACAAGATTGGCCAAAATCATCATGATGGAAAAAAAAAAAGAACATGTTTCTTTTTAAATGCTAGATATCTATTAAGTTTAATCCAAGGAGTAATTATAATGAATCTGTTTGGATCCTTACATTATTTAATTTCTTAATAACTTTGAAATGCTAATAGTAGAAACTTTCTTTTCATTACATTAATTTCTAAATTTCTCTTGTCTTTTCAGGTACCACTGCTTTGTTTCTGTTCCTGGTTATGCATCCTTCCATTCTTAGTAACTCCCCCAGCCCAAAAACCTTTGAGGAGGTACAGTTCTTTAATAGAAATAACTACCACAGGGGGATTGATTGGTAAGATGGGTTATTAGTATGAATCTAAAAGTTTTTTTACTGTGCATAGTATAAACTTAGTGTTAACATTTAGAAACATATATGTTTGTATCCATAAATAAAAGTTATCCTGGGTGGCTTGGAAACTGATCAAATAACATGAAGGAACACAGAAAATCATTCATAACACACTCATTTCAGTTTATGGAGTCACTTGTTGTTTCATGAGGCTCACATGTAACTTCAGTTGGCATCAATTATCTGTGATGATCACAAATGTGAAATAGAAAAAAATAGTATGATACTCAGGAATTTCATTCCTTTATACTCTTAAGAAAAAAATCATATTTTTCTCCTGTGCACTTTTTATTATGTGCTATAATTCATTTATTATGTGCTATAATTCATGTATATACTTTTTTATTTTGTTTTGGTATAAAAGGTAATAATAAGTATATCGAAATATAAATGTGTATATATCTCATGAGTAATGAAAGCGATAAAAACTCTATCAAAAATTTATGAAATTTAAATTTTTACCTTTGAATTGAAATTAGAAATAAATTAGGTATCTTAAGAAAATAGTTAAAATATGAAAGTGTAGATACATACAAAACTATAATATAGAGTAGAAATGGATGGTACAATGTAACATTTTAATCATGAAATATATCAAGAGATTTTTCTGCTAGGGTATAATGCTAGACGGAGTAATTTAAAGGAGTGAAATTCTTGTAATAATTCTAGAGCATAAACACACATTTTGCATTGATTTTAGCAAGAAGAGTCATGTATGCTAATATCTGTTTTGTCACATTATGTGATCTCAGTTTTATAAGTACCACCCACCTCAAGTGTTGTTTGAGGTAGTGTGAATGAAAAGGTAAAGTAATGGATTGAGTAAAATTTGAACACCCACTAGAATTCACATATGCTAAAATTGTTATGTATGTCACTGCCAATTTTTCTATATAGAGCTTGATGTTCATTATGTGGTGTTAAATAATAGCAGGGAGGATTGATAACCATCAACTACTTCAGCTGCTGCTTGACTGTGGGAATAATCAATTTTTTGTTGTCATGAATTATATCAAATAAAACCTTCTTGATCATAGCTAGTACAGTATAGGCACTGTAATATGAACAAAAAGTTTCTTAAGCCATTTATAAGGATAGGACTTAAATAAATAGACAGTTAAAAAACAAGAAGTGTTTTAAATATAACTCACTAAAATTACCCCAAAACACAAGCATTTTTGATTGATAAAGTATATACTTATAAAAGGCAGTTAATTCAAATGACAGATAGTTATTGCAAATTTTAATATATAACACTAAGTATAGCTTTGCATGCAACAACTTCACATATTCACATTTGTCAGACTGGTCTGTTTTCTCTATGAAGCATTAACTACTTAGGTATCTTTTTATAATCACAGTTTCAAAAGGTGTAGACGATTTTGTGTCTCAGAGGCCCAGGGTCATTTAAAGAATTAACTTAGGCATAGCTAGTTTATCTGGGTTCTTGGATCTGCATTTTTGAAGAATGGATAAAGCTAGGGTTGCTTTAACTGACAAGCAGCTTAGGGTACAAACAAAGTAAGGCAAATAAAAATTAGAAAACATTATCTTTGACAAATAGTTGAGATTTGCAATTGGAACTTCTCAGAAAAATATTTGAGTTATGTATGCATGTAAGTTTAATGTTTTATCCATTGGTATTATTATTTTAAGTTACATGGGGATTCTTGGAAGGTTGGAAAGCTATACAATCCTGTTAACATTTAGAACCCCTATAGTCATAATGTGGCTTTAAGTAAAATCAAATAAAAATATAAATACTCAGAGTCAGCGCAAATAGCAAATAAATGTCGAGTATTGAAAAAAGAAATATATATATATTAATTTTTCAGGTAGAAAAAAAATGCTGAGGTATTATGTTTAATAGAAGTAGCAAAACTGAGGGAGGAAGGCATTCACTTCTAACCCTCAAATTGTTAAGACATTCTAGTGTGCTTGCTAATTCTATGGATAATCGAATGTATATCTTCCAAAAGTGAACATTTTTGGGAGCATCCAGGTCCCATACTATAAATATGAACCTGATTTCTTTTATTTATTTGCTTATTGATCAATTTCTTTCAAATCTATATGGCGTTTCTTAAACATTTCTACAGTAGAAATTGTGAACATATAGGTGATCATCTATTATTTTCTCTGTGAGCATCTAAGGCCAGGCAAAATTAACACACTATAGATCCAACATTTAGAACTACGTAGGATTTGAAATCCTAAACTGTTTCAGCTATAAAAAACTGCTGTGAAGGTAGGACACTTTGTTAGAAAGTAAAAGTTATCTAAAATCAGCTCATTTCCTCTTTTTTGTGATATTTGGAACCATCCTCAAAACAAGCAAGCTTGAGGCAAGCTTGGATCAAACACGTACCACTAGTCATTCTTTATAACCTTAGCACCCCTGCAACCAACATGAACTTCTAAATAATACCCCAAAATGTGGCACTTTCTGTAACTAGAGTGTATACCAAAAGACATACCACATCAACTCTCCCAAAAGTTTTGTACATTTCTTTCTCTCTGAAAGGAGGCCAGAATGATATATCATCAGCAATGCAATTTCCAGAAAACATAAAAGGATTTCTTTACTTCTCTGAGTGTTAAGACATCACTAAAAGGTTGAAATATAACTAGTTGGTAATGCTTCAACAACTGGAATATCACCACAAACATTGTTATGTGAAACTATGAGATCTCACAATTGAAAAGTCTATGAAAGTTGCATGATCTCATTCTAAAGAAAACAACATACTATGATAAGAAGTCCTTACATGTATGTTAATTACTGTTCAGTTCAGTAATTATTGAATTACCTTTTCTTGTTTGTCTATAGTCACAGTGGCTTAAGAATTGAAGGGGTTGGTGGTGGAGAGTGAAACTATTATTATAAAATGGTTGCAACCCAAGTAGTTTCTAAGGAATCCTTTTTCCTCTAAAACATGACCCTTTTTTGCTTTAGAAATATATATGATCATCTGCTGATTTTGTTATACTTGACAACTTTTATCCTTTAATACAAAACATGAAGCAGAATCCTCCATTTCTGTACTTGAGACTACAGGTATCCCCTTGTTAACACTGGAGGTAAATAGATTATAAAAGATAAAATACAAATTCTAACCTTGGAAATTTGGATTGGGTCTTATATTTGTAAACATATACATATGTTTTAATCTTTCATTGTAATTACTCTAAAGAGAGATATGACACAAACAAATAAATAATATTTACAACAGATATTTAAGTAACATCAACTCAACACACTAGTGGAGATAAAATTATTTTATTATGATAACGTAAAAAATGTTTTTTTTAATTCATTTAAAATACCTTTGAACTGAGTACATCATCTATTTTGATCAAATTTTATTCCTGTTTGAATATTTAGAATTTCATCTGTACAATATTAATCCATTTAGATATATTTTAAATTGTTGGATTGATTATTGTTGCCATTATTCTATGTCTACATTTTTATCATCTCTTATCTTTATTCTGCTACTAAGCAAACAAAATGTACTTAGAAAAACATTTTTGAAATGCATTATTAGTGTTCTGGATGTTTCCCTTGCTAACTATAGAGGAAAATGCCTTAAAGGTAAAATTTTATTTAGGAAAGAAATGAATACGTGGAACACCTCTATTATCTTCAGTCACTAGTACATAAGTGTAAAACAGGATCTTATTTTGAGAAAAATGTTCCTTTTCTAGGTATATGGATTTCTTCCCAATTCCATCTAATGTTACTACTGACTTTCTGTTTGAGAAAAGTGCCAATTATTTCCACTCAGAAGAAGCTCCTAAAAGAGCTGCTTCCCTAGTCCCCAAAGCCAAGATCATCAGCATTCTCATTGACCCATCAGACCGAGCATACTCCTGGTATCAGGTAAGGGTAAACAAATCAAACTGGGGGAAGGGGAGCATGGACAATGGAAGATCATTTTTAGCAATAGCCTCCATCTCAGGTATTAACAAAAGAGAAGATCTGCTAGTTTGATGGTATCAGCAGAAAAGTAGATGACTTTTCCTAAAAAAAAAAAAAAAAAAAAAAAACTTTCTGTGTTAATCTTTTATTAGTGTATTTAACAAAATGTGTTAATACAAGAAAGAAATTAAATTGAAACATAACAAACAAAATATACACTTGTTTGTCTGTGTGTAGAGAGATATACATTTATTTCCATACCCTCTGTTCTTCTATACATCTGTATTTTCAGCATGCATTTTAAAATCATGAATTTTCATCCAATACATCTATATTTTATAAAGGACTAAACAGCAAAATTTCATGTTTTAAATGTTGTAAGGTCTTTTGCGACTCTGTAATTGTATTTTGAAAGTAGCCATAGATGATATGTTAATGAAAGAGCATGGTTGTGTTCCAATAGAATTTTATAAACAAAAACAGACTCTAGGCATCCGTAGATTATTGCTCCAGTTCTGAAAGAATCTAAATAAATGTTTGCACTCTAGAAGTAACTTAGAGACAAAGCTTATATAAGAATTCTTCATCACTGGAAGCCCAATCTGTCTAAACCTGTTCTAAGTCTCTTCTCATATAGTCATTGTCATTATGTTTCTGAGGTTGGTGAGAACTTAGCACAGATACCATCACTTTAAAATAATTTAACAGATTCTAATAATACTTGTATATAAAGTATATTTTACAATAAATCATTAAATAATAGAGAAAAAACTGTCCCGGTGATATTTTAATCACCAAATGGAAAATTTCAATAAAAGGCATTCAAAATTAAAAATAAGAATATAACAAAATCAGTATCTTGTCTCCCCGATCCTTTATTATCATTGCTCAACTTTTAATTGAAAAATGCCTATTATTTATATTTCCATCCATTCATCAATAATTTTAATGACAACTATGTGCCAAGTTTTGTTCTGAAAGTGATGGAACATATGTTAATAAATGTGAATGCTATACTTGAGACTGTGTTTTACATAATTGGTGAAATGCTGTATATGTAAATAACCATATAAATTAGAAAGAAGTAAGTGATGGACTGATAGCATCATTCTGTGATAAAGTCCATCTTAAAGACTACAGTGAACAAGCTGGATTGATTAACTGGCTGCAGCAGAGATGCAGACTCCAGAAGAATCAGTACACATTCTCTGAAGAAGTGAAGGATTTATAAGGGGAGAAATTGAGGTGAGGTTGAAGTGATGGATTGTTCTGGGAGGGGTAAAACATAACTATGTATAAATAAATTATTAGCAGGCTAAAAAAACAGACTATGGTCTATATTTCTTTGAAACTATGAAGCTAAGATGAATGTGTAATATTGTGTATACAAAAACTCTTTTGGGGGTTTAATATAAGGTAATTTGGTGTGCTCTAAGTAATCCACAATTTCTCTGGTGAAGATTTGTGGGTTACTTAGAGCACAGCAAATTACCTTATATTAAACTCAGCAAATACTTACTTAGAGCACAGCAAATTACCTTATATTAAGAGCTCAAATACTCTCACCAAGGGTGGGTGGGATGTTTCACTGATATGATTTCAAACAGGAAACTCCTTGAAATTATGATATTAAATTAAATAATATAGTTTTTTAACACCAAGATACCTTTTGTTAGTTAACAAAAGCAGATTTTTTTCAGATTTACAAATAGAAGAAAAGGTTATTGGGAAAGATTTTGTGACGGGGCAGAGTGAGAAAAGGTCATACAAAACAGAATTCTAGTTAGGTGTACTAAAAATTGACAGATTTGATTTTGCACCTTTTACCTTTTCTACAGGAAATCTGGAGAAAAGAGAAATAAGCCTTAATTGACTCCAAAAGACAGAAGAAAATTGGAGCTTGTCAATCCCTTAGCCTCTGAAAAATTGGGAATTTACAGAAAAAGAAGGTTTCAAGGATGCAAACTAACAAAACACTCTAAATATTGCAAATAAGTCACTCCACAGGGTAAAATGCAGACAAAGTTTAGTAGAGTTTATAGTATAATAATTTGAATCCTAACTGAAGCAAATTTGCTTCTCAACTAGCTGTGGTAAACATTTACAAACTTACCACTAAGCCTGAATATTTATTGGTCAATTTAAGGAAAAGATGATTTTCTCAAATCCATGGGCTGGTATCTGAGTCATTATGAAACACTTTCATATTTGGATTGCTGCTTTCTATATTTTCTGAACAATAAATGGTTCTGATTCACTGAAAAGGTTACCTTTAGATAAAATAATCTTGGCTTTCAGATGCTAGGTAATATATGATAAAATCTATGGATTTGGAATAATGTATATGTCAGAGTTTCTCCATTTTAAATAGCAAATAGTATTTTTTTTCCTGATCTAAAAACTACATTACAAGGAAGAATAAAAATTATTTGGCTGAACTAGAGCTTATGTATTATGGATATCCACTGAGCTTGATGAATGATTTTCTTATGGGCAGAAAAGGGGACATAATACAGCTTTCAAAAGTTTACTTTCAGGTAAAATACATATACAAAGGGGAAAAAAAACTCAGTAAAGTTGGTTAAGGAATTCTACCAATAAGAATTCATCCTCTATCAAATAAGTCTTTAAAATACGTACTCATCAGTGTCATAATTTTAAATTTTGATTCTTCAAGCAAACATTTTCATCCTTTATTAATTTCAAAATAAATAACTCTCCAGCAATGAGGCACTCTTTTCTCTAGCTTAAGGACTTGTCAGAAAGATTGTTTTTTTAATTATTTATGCTTATGTTTCAAGTTAGTTTAATTATCCACCTTTTTATCAGCATCAGCGATCCCATGAAGACCCTGCAGCTCTGAAGTTTAGCTTCTACGAAGTAATCTCAGCCGGGCCCCACGCACCCACGGAGCTTAAAACCTTGCAAAAGAGATGTTTGGTCCCTGGGTGGTATGCCAGCCACATTGAGAGATGGCTTGTTTATTTCCCTCCCTTTCAGGTATGGAGCAATAAAAATTTACATCATGTAACAATCTCATTAAGTTGATGACTTTGCCTCAAGGATAGAGGAAAATTTTACTCATTAAAACTACTAGCTTTTTACCTCTTACTTATAAATAATGGACTGTGGCAAAGAAAAATAGAGAGGCAAAGTAGAAAAGCAGTCTGATTTTTGGAAAGTATTTCAGAGTAATTTTCCCTGTTCCATTTTCTGGTGCCTTACCTGATTGTAAAGAGTTTCAATAGCTTCCTGATTACATCCCTAATTCTTATTCTGACATAAATAAAGCTTGAAGGGAGCCTCTTAACTAAACAAGGCAAATATTGTTTTGCTTAATTAAGTGATGTTATTTTGCTTCTGAATCACCTTGTTGAAATTTTTGGAAGTCTTATGCTATTATCACATTCCTTACTTTTTTTTTTTTCCTTGGGTTTAGGTTACCAAATCAAATCCTTTGGATTGTATAAACCATCTAGTCATATCAGATGTGGTGTGTACTTGCACTTTTAAAACTGCAGTGTCCAATGTGATAGCTATTACCACTTAATGTTAATTCAATTTGTATTAATATTAAGAGAAATTAAAAATGCAGCTTCTTATTTGTATTATCCACGTTCAAATGCTCAATAGTTACCTGTTAGCGCAGCTATAAAACATTCATTATCACAGAAAGTTCCATTAAGTAATGCTAATCTAGACTGATAGAAATATTGGAAAATAGGTATGGGCTGGAGTTGCATTACAGGCTTTGTAACCTTCCATTCCGTCCTCAGTCATTTTATCTTGCTGGGTCCACTATCATCATAGTAACAAATTCTTCCCCTTAGTTTTTTGAGGAACTATGTACATGCACTGGTTCTCTGAGAATTCTTACCTTCTTCATATGAATTATCAAAGTATTTCTTCAAACTTTACATTGCTACTCCTGAATGGAATTGTAAAACATGGCATGTCCTCTTTCTTATTACATTTGGGCTTATTTTGAACATTCTTTTCTTTTCCACAGTGCTCCTTTCCAATATGGATGATGGAATAATTGCTTTTTTTTTCTTGGCTTATATTTGTGATTTTGCAGTTAAATTTCTAAGCTCTCTTGGTCCCCACAATTCGCTTTTTGCTTTTATAGTGTTTGTAGGAGTTCTCAGGTAACAAAAATGAACGTGCTTAATTAGCATGATTTATTTATTGGTTCAGGCCATTAACAAGTACTGTGTGATTATATCTAATAATGATGCATGCAATTCTCCTTAGGACCTTGTTTCTGAATAAACAGAAAATTTTTTATTTTACAGTTAACATATCTTTTTTCAACATTAATTAAATAATAATAATTATTTTTATTATTTTGGTGATTTAGTTGCTAATTATCGATGGGCAACAACTAAGAACTGATCCTGCTACAGTAATGGATGAAGTACAGAAGTTTCTAGGAGTCTCTCCTCATTATAATTACTCAGAAGCTTTAACGTAAGTTTGTATTCTCATTAATTAATTAAACTTTCAGCAGGGAAATAATTTTAAGAAACTGTAGTTTGGTGATGCAATTGTCAATTTATATGTTAACCATTTGGGGAAGAACAATTAAAACATTGTCATGAAGAAAGGTCCTAAATCATCTGTTTACTCCTAAATATGCAGATTTCTCCTGGAAGAAAAGTGGGGGAAAAAATTGTGATTCTAAAAACCAACAACAAACCTTAAGAGTAGACTTGAAATAAGTTTATAAAAGTTGACATATTTAACAGACAATATTTCAACCTCTTGGATGTATGAAGAGGAGATTAGATAATTTTGGAACTGGCTTTTTTTGCAGTTTTCAGAAACAATGTCATACAGGCAGAAATAATCCAATAGGTGACAGCATAGGCAGAGAGAGAGAGAGAGAAAGACAGAGACAGAGAGAGGGAGGGAGAGAGATGTACTATTATTGTTCTATTGCAGTAGTTTTATTTTTTACCTTTGTTTTTATGTAAAATGAATGTGACCTTGTCATCCTTTCTTCTGACACCTCAGCAGTTAAAAGCAATGATTTGTTTGTTTGGGTAGTTTTTTTTTTTTTCTAGTTTTTTTTTTTCTTGATTGCCTCTGATCTTCCTTGGTACTTGACTCCAAGGAGGTCAAGAGACGCATTAGAATTTAAGAAAGGACTCACTGTCAAATTGAATTGTCATATGCCTGAGAATAACAATGCACTTCCAGTGAGTTTCTTTTCATATTTTCTTGTGATCATCATTGACACACCTTGTGAAAACCACTAGTGCACTTGTAGAATATTTGGAGGTTTCATGTCATTTTCTTAGGTCTAACATAGTCTCCTTTCACCCTATAGCCTTTGCAGTTATTTATCTGAACCCCATCTTCACAGTTTAGTTACTCTTCTTATAGTAACTCTGACAGTTGTTTCTGTGATACTGTAGAAATATTGGGATGGCTATTAGTACGAAATGTATATTCTCATAAATGTTATTTATACCAAAAACTAAGAGATCCTTTATATATTTTGGTATTATTTCTTATTTTCCTGCTATGATAGTGAATATCACCTCTTTGGTGTTTACATTTCTTTTTCAGCTTAAGACCCTTCCTTCCTTCCTTTATTAAGGATTTACTAAACAAAATCCAATATGAATTCTCAATTAATCACTTAAATACAGTGCATTATACAAAGTAGAATAAATGAATGAAACTAGGTATACACAAAGGTTTTTACAATACTCTCTTGGCATGAAAGAATGCTCCAATTTAAGAAGTCTCTAAACTGATTATTTTCAGTTTAGCAAATTCTACTATCAAAACTTATTTTCAAAAGCAATGGTAAAAATCCTCCATTGTCAAAATTTTTTTTATTCCGTTCCATGATTACTAAAGAAAATATTCTAGAATTCCAAAATTTATACCAACTAACTGGATAGTCTGGATCTTAAAATTACTTTTTATTGTCATAATTGATTTTAAAAGTCTTATTGAATATGTAAAAATAATCTGATTTTCTCAGTGAGTGTGGGTGTGGTTTGAAATGAGGACTATTAGCTTAAAACAATACATTTTGGAACTTTCTCATTCAAAAAAGTAAGTTACATTTTACAACATATTTCAGGGTATTTATTGAATCAAATGCACACTGCCTTAAAAGAGGGCCAGTATCCAGAGAGGCTGGGAGGCCTCATTTAAAAACTTTTGTCCAACAAAAACTTAATTCCTTAATTATGAACAATAGGATTGATATTATATTGACACTAGTTTAGTTTTCAGATTATGTGTTATATAGTGTTTTGAAAATAATTAAATATTTGAAAAAAATGAAGAAAATTAAAACTTGACATGAATTGTGCTAATGTGATAAATTAAAATTAAAAATATAAATTTTAAATTTTACCACAAATATGTCCATTCACAATTATCACATAGGCATTGATGTCCATGACAGAAGTCTTCAATTCAGAAATACTAGTTACTTAAATACCTGAACATGACGTCTCATTTCTCAGCCCATTAATATATTTGTTTAGTGAAACCAGACTGTGTTAAATAAAAATTTAATACAAATTTACTTTGAAAACTTTGATGAATGGGAATTATTAATTTAAAAGTCAGAGATAGAATATTATTTTTCGTGTGTGTGTGTGTGTGTGTGTGTGTGTGTGTGTATTTTTTATGAGGCTTGGTTAAGTCATAGAGGACTGAAGATGCATTAAATTTAGAAAGACTTCAAATGTTTCTAATATCACATCCTGATAATCAAAATTATGTTGCCAGGAGTTCTTTCCCAACTCACTGCAGATGAGTTTGGGTAAGAATCTACCGTATAAAGACTTTTTAATAGCAAAACTAGTTGTCATAGTAACTAAAATCTGGTTATCCTTGGGATGACCTATGAAGAAGCATCTAGAAATGTTAAGTTTTGAATAGAAATATATTTACTAAACATATTTACTATACATACTAAATAATTTCTATGTGTGTGTGTATATATATCCTCACAAAACTGTGTGATAAGTAGTATTAGCAAAATAGTACTATTTTTCAGGTAAAAATATTAGAGCATAGAAAAATTAAGCCAAAAATTACTCAGCAAGTAGTTTAAGGAGGCAGATTTGGAAATCAGTTATTTCTGGAACCTACCCTGACCAATCTTAAGTTCTTCCCATTGTCACAAAAACAAGACAAAAACTATTGTGAATTTTAGTAATAAATAGTATATCAACAGGAAGTACTTCCTTTCAAAACTGAAAGTTTAAAATGAGCTTTTTAAGTTGTTTCAGACATTGCTACAAACAGAATCTATCTCTCGACTCACTGAATTTCACATTACAAATAAATGTGTAATTATAGAGGTATGCAATTAAGGCCATATTGAGATACCAGTTTACACCCATTGCAATGGTTATAATCCAGAAGATAATATGTGATGTTGGCAAGAAAGTGGTGAAACTTGAAACTTTATATATTGCTAATGGTGGTGAGTGGCTACAGGAAGTAGATCTCTGGGGGCATGGCCTTGGGAACTATATCTGGTCCCTGGTTTCTTTCTCACTCTCTGCTTACTGGCTACCATGAACTGATCAACTTTCCTCCCCTATACCCTTTTGCTATGATATTCTGCCTTATCTCAGATCCACACTAATAGTCAGTCAACCATGAATTGAACTTTTAAACTCAAAATAAACTTTACCTCCTCTAAGTTGTGCTTGTCAGGTATTTTTGTCACAGTAATAAAAAGCTGATTAACATGGTTATAATGAAGGTTCAAATAGAGAAATACAAAATATTTTGATAAACAAATATAAATTTAACATAATACTATTATTATTACAATTATAGTATGAAAATCCCATTTATAGATGGAATTACTTTAATATAGCTCTCATATTAAAAGAAGAAATTCTTTTATCTGGAAAATAATTAAATTTGGTTTATAGCTATAGAATTCTAAAAGTAATAACTCCATGGCACATCAAAATCTTTTCTCTCAAATCACCCTGTAGTTCTGTGATACACAGAAGTGATGAAGATTGATTTGTCATTTTTAAACCCTATAAAAATGGACTTAAAATTTATAAATATTTTGATACCAGATGAAGGAATTAGTCTTAATTTTTTATTAATAGGATATTTTTTACTGAAAAATTTTGTATTAAGAATTGGGCAAACTTAGAAATATGACAGAGGGACTGAAAATTCCTTATGACAAAATTAGCATGGAAATTAGAGTTTTCAGTGTGCAAATCTTGCTCATAATTTTTATTAACTTTATGGATTTCAGGATTGTATGCTAACTTAAAAATGTAACAGTGGGTGGTAACCATAGACAGGTGGGACATGGCTGGAGGAAGTAGGTCTTTCTATACTATTTGATTCTTTATGACACAAGATTTTATGCAAAGAGATATAGTATAAAAGAAAAAAAAACCTTCCAGTTTTATTTGTTATAGATTGATATTCAAATAAAAATACTTATGTTATTGGTCATTATATCTTATAAACTACTTAAAAATAATTTCTTTAAGGTTTCTTTGGGGGTTTGTAATTTTTTAGGTTTGATTCTCATAAAGGTTTCTGGTGTCAGTTGCTGGAAGAAGGTAAAACAAAATGCCTTGGAAAGAGTAAAGGAAGAAAATATCCACCAATGGATTCTGATGTAAGTGTAGAGCTTAAAAATCTAAGCTATTTGTACAAAAGAATAAATAGTAACATCACATCTGATTTCTTACAAAAGTGATTAAGTCAAATCCAACTTTCTAAAATTTAAAAGTGACAATTGAGTTTTAGAATATCTATGTTGTTTGGTTTTTGATTTTTTCAATCTTATAACATTACCTGTCATTCAAGAATAAATGAAAACAATAGAATTTTTTAAAATTTTGAATAAGGACAGAAAGATATCATCTCATTCTAAAAAGAATGATAGTGCACAGAAATTTTTGCACTAAAAAGGTTAACTGAATCCAAGACAGGAAATATATCAACTAGAAATTGAAAATAGGAGCAAAAGGTTTCTATCTTTTGTCACCACAAAATTACTCGATAGTGGTAAGTATAGCCTAGATAATATTACTGTTATAATGTACTGAACATTGAACTGTTTTTATGCTATTAAAATGAAAAAAAAATTAATACATTTCCCCGATGTATAATATACTAATATATTACTCAGGTTTTTTTTTTCTTTTAAGAGAGAGAGAATTTTTTTTAATGTTTATTTTTCAGTTTTTGGTGGAAACAACATCTTTTTTATATGTGGTGCTGAGGATCAAACCCAGTGCCCCGCGCATGCCAGGCGAGCACGTTATCCCTTGAGTCACATCCCCAGCCTGATTACTCAGGTTTTAAGGAATGGAGATGTGTACATTATGGTACCTAGCACTTTGTTTATTCTGTTCAGTATCCTGAGATGATGAACACTTTATGCTATAGTTTTTTTCAGGTTGAATATACTGTATTTTTACTTTAGTACTTAATGCACATGAAATTTATTCATATTTTAATTTCATAATCAGTCTACTTAAAATGTAGTTTGGCTATTAGAATGCAAGTAGATTATGATTATATAATACCTTATGTTAACTGACAATCTGAGGTTGTCTGAGAATGCTTAGGTTATCTGAATTTATTTGAAAATTATATCTAACAGGACCTTGAGAACTATTTGTTGTATCAGGCCTGATAGATATATGGCCTGTAATCAAAAAGCTCATACTTAAATTCTGTATCAAAGACATTAGGAAATAGAACTTCTACTGTTTTGATAAAGAATTTACATTCTCTGAATTCTAATTTTATTTGGTTGATAAAAATATACCCTCATAGCACTCTAAAATAATCCTAATACATTAAAAGAGTTTGAAGGGACATTTCTATACTATTTCAAGAGAGCAATGCAAAATTTATTGTTTTTATGTCAAACTTTGAACAAAATTTATTTATTAAAGTTACAACATTTTAAAGATACCATATAATGTTTTTCTTAACATTTCATCTTACTCTGGTCTCACATAGACACACTGAGATAAAATACAAAATTTAGTGGTAAAGAACTTTTTAAGATATCAATTTCAAATCTCTCTACAAGGTTACTGTGAAGTACATAATGAATTCATTGAAGTACATAATGAATTTATGGTAACAAACCATCTTTTGATATGAATAGCTTACCTATATGTTTCCCAGAGTAAAACCTACCAAATTGAAGGGGCTAAAGTGTCTGGTTTGGTCATATGGTTTTCAGAGAAAGGTAAATATAAAGGGCCTCAAAAATGTCAACAAAACACTATGGGCAAAATAAACAGTTCACCTGCTTAATACAAATTTTAATCCAGATCTGATATACTTGATGATTATTTAATCACAGTCAAAATGTATAAAATATACTTTAATAAACAAAATTGAATGTACTTGTATCTCTCCCTCCCCACTCAGAGCAGAGCATTTCTGTCAAGCTACTATCGGGATCACAATGTGGAACTCTCAAAGCTGCTACACAAACTGGGTCAACCTCTCCCATCTTGGTTGAGACAAGAACTGCAGAAAGTGAGATAGCATTGAGAGAAAACTTGTTGAGGATTCATCTTTTCCAAAGTTTTCAGAAGCTACCAAAAGATGATCAAAATATACCTCTTCAAATAAGAAGAAAGGACAAGGCTCCTTCCATGTGCTGGCATGTGGATTATTAGAAAAAAAAAAGACAAGAAAAATATGTTACAACCCTTGAGGCCTATGGCCTACTGCTTAATGCTCATCCGAGCCTGTGAGATTCTCATAGACTACTTACTGTGCACTCATGTGTAAGTCAGCAGCAGCAAACATAAATAACAAACACAAATGCAAAACTGTCCATTTCATATTAATATTTACACTTTGATATGTCAACTAAGATTGTGTCTACAGATTTTTAGACCACTGTTTGCCTGTAATTATTTTTAATTCTTGGATTCTATGAGGCATCATTCAAAATAAGAACCAAAATAAACCTCACAATGTAACATAAAATTCCAGAAGCATAACACATAAAAAAGCTTGTCAAAACTTAAATCCACTGAAGTATTTAGAAAGAATTGTAAATTGTAATTTGTGCTAGATCAGAGAGTGAAAAAGCTATACATGTGCTTTATCTGCATAAAAAAGAGAAGTACTGTAGCAAAAAAAGAAAAGTGATTTGTCATATATATAGTCTAGTTCATTTATGTAAAAATTACTAACTCTTCCATTGTAAGGTAACTATTATACTGAAATATATATTGTAAATTTGTTGGATGATACGTAGAAACACACTGAGTACACCAAAATAGTAAATGATAATGTAAGTGTATTGACTAAATCCTCTATAAAGGAGAAAGGATAGGGGTCTAAAGATATATCATTGAGAACTCTATACCCACTTGCTGTGTGCTACAAATCTATTCCAGCAGTCCTCTCTAGTTCTACAGAAATGCATGCAGAGTCTCTGAGATATGTGTCATCTCTGGTAACAAACCATCTTTTGATATGAATAGCTTACCTATATGTTTCCCAGAGTAAAACCTACCAAATTAAAACTAAGGACAGCTTCCCGAGATGATTGTTCAGATTGTTTACCCTTATATTATTACAAAGCTACATTTTTCCTATAGTCCAAAATAAAATTATATAATGTCAGATTTGTAATAAAACAGAAATTAATATTTGATTTATAATCTTATATTTGAAATGATAATTGTAATACAAGGCAGAGAAAAATAAGAATAAAATCCCATTTTTAAAATTATTTCACATATCATTGTCACAGAAGATAACAGAACACAGTTAAATTTATGGATAGCTACAAAAGTAAATGAAGCATCACATGACTATTGAAGTATATTTATACTTACTTAATGAAATATTTAAAAAGGAAAAGATTTAAAATAAATCAACTTATTTTCTTGTATTAACATTTACTTAATTTTAGATTACTTCACATACACACAAAATTTAAATAGTAAATAAATTCCCTGCTATGATTACATGTCTTTATAAAAAATCCTTAAAGGTATGATTTAAAAAATATATGCAAGGAAACTACTATTTTCATTGTCACTATAATGTGTAAAACTAATTCTGTATAATAATTAGAAAACGAAATGTTTGATCCTTATACTTGCTGTAATTTTAAATATACATTATAATTATCAATTAAATGTTATTTTGAGATCTTATGTACCCCCCAAATACATTAATTTTTAAACAAAGAGCAGAAAGAATTGGAAGAAAAACAATTGTAAGACCCTTAGTAAAAAGCAAAAGCAAAATCATTTAAACAAACATGAGAAACTCAGTCTTTATGCCTACTGTTGACTCTTTCAAAGAAACACATGCCAAACATACTAAAAAAAATTATAATAATCTTTCATTAATAATCTCCATTAATTTAAGAAAATTGACTTAAGAAGGATACAATGAGAGGAGGCTGCAGCAGTTACATACAGTATCTTGTTTTTATTTGTCAACATTTTTGTTGATAAAAGAAAAAAGGAAAGTTGATACATATACGCTTTAAAGATGAGATATACCTTTAAATTTCTGAATAAGTTGTGAATGGAATCCTCTTGTCAAGGTAAATTGACTTGACTGAACAATTCACCCTTTGAAATAATTGTTTATACTCAGTGCTTGTATAATGAAAGGAGAAAAAAGGGAAGATATAGCATCAAGATTAACTCCATCACAAAGTATGGAGTTTGATGCTACATACAGTTGCAAGGGTTTGAAAGGATTTTTGACCACTCAGCGTGTGTTTTGAATATACTATCAAATTCCAGAAGATGTGCATATTTTCCACACTGTATATTCCAGTCAGTCATGCTATTCTGAAACTAACATAAATACACATGAGAAAAGACTGAGAGAGAACATGATTTAAAAATTGCTTTGTATAGAATTCCCTTTTTCATTGCTTAAAATATGAAACTTCCTCAGGAAGAAATGAAATGGTTATTTCCCTGTTTATAGCTATAATATTTGTCATTCACATTGAATGAAAATTACTGAAAACATTCTTTTTCTCTGCGTTTTTTTTTAAGAAAAAAAAAACTGGATATAACTCTGATAGTGGCATGGTACCTCATGTAAAACAATAAACTCTTATAAGAAAATGAAGATTTTGGGACTAGTGATTTTAGGCAAGAAGTAGGTACTTGATAATTTTGCCTGGGAGGCAGTGGGAAGTGGTAACAGAATATAGATGCCACTAACATAAGCTAAAGTAGAGATGGATGAGTGCTTCTGAGTAAGAAATAAGTAAAAATTTGTATACAACTGTTCAAAGTTCTCCTAAATTTTGGTGTTATTTCTTGTGGGTTTTTTTTTCCTTTTTAGTTGTATCAGATTTAAAGCAGCTCCTACATCACTTTTGGGACTCTGGAATAAAAGAATGAGAAAATCACACAGCTGTTGCTTCAGAGATTTGAGAACCCAGGTGGTTGTAGAATGTCTGACTCCCAGTACTCTTTTCTGCTCTCACAGATGAACCCCCTTTTATTTCTTTAGATCTTTAAAAGGTGTTAGCTAGTCTTTCCTTTATAAAATTACAGAAAACATCATGTGGAGATAAGCTAGACTCAGAAAGTCAAAGGTAATATGCTTTCTCTCATCTGTAGAAGATAAAGAGAGACAGAGAGAGAGAGAAAGAACAGAATAAAGGACATTAGGAAAATTGAAATGAGACAAGTTGAGTAGAGAAAGATCAAGGGAGGGGAAAAGTGAAAGGAAGGTGAGGTATTGGGGAATGATGATTGGAATACAACAATAGTTTTTTTAAAAGAAAAATAACAACATAACACCATGCCCATTTTAAAAAATCCAGAAAACAATCTCTGAACAAAATATGTGGAGCTAAATGTTTACCTTCATTTTCCACATTTTTTCTCTATTTCAACCCCTTTCTCTTCCAGATATCAAATTTCCTGTTGGAACTCATCTTATCTTCATGTAGTGAGTCTCTCTCCCTCCCCCCACCTCTCTCTCTCTCACACACACACACACACACACACACACACCACATACACACATTGCTCCTACTTGGAATACATCTTATTTTACAATTTTCTTCCCAAATATGCAGTCTCATATTTCATCTACTTTAGGACCAGTCTCAGTACTAGCTAATAAACCAATCCATCAATATTACTGGTGTACAACAGCATGATATTATGCTTTTCAGAGATATCAGTCCTGCATTTTCTAGGAGATACATTTTAAGCCCTAAGGAACAACTCACAGATGAGAGGCACTGAACTGGTCAAATATTTTCATGTGAAGGTATCTCCATAATATCAATATGCACTGTATAACTAAATTCTAATATGCCAAAGTTCTCCTCTGCTTGATGATAATTGACAACTTAGCTGCTCCTTATCCTTGTCCATACGTCACACATCAGCCCCCCAAACACACAAAAACACTCATATCCAAACAGCAGTCATAGTAGCAAAAATAAATACTCTATGGTAGATAGTCCTTAAGAAATTATTCCTGGGCTGGTTTGGAATGTTCACCATCTTTTCACTTAACATCACAAAAGCTGACTAATTTGACCTTTGAGGATGAAGAATAAAGGCAGTGTGATAGTCAACTATAGGTCACTTTGAGCCAGATCAAAGATTATTCCTAGGTGTGTCAAGGAGGTTGTTTGTGAATGAAATTAGAATTTCCATGAGTGAACAGTAGACTATTTTCCCCAAGTAAGTGGGCATTGTCCAGTCCTTTGAGGTCCTGGAGAGAGCAAAAGGTGAAAGAGAAAAGAATGTTCTTCTTTTTATCTGGCTCTCTGACATCTTTTCCTTCAGACTTGGATTTAGACCAGTAACACCCCTGGTTGTCAGGCCTTCAGTTTCAAACTAAAGTATACCACCAACTTCACCCACTCTCCATTTTTCAGACAGTTGATCATGGGACATTTTGGCATATATAATCATATAAGCCAATCCCTCATAATAAATCAGAGAGAGATAATAGATAGATGATAGATAGATAGATAGATAGATAGATAGATAGATAGATAGAATATTTATATGTCAGAGGATAGATAGGTAAATAGACAGACAGATATGGAGGTCCTATCATTCTGCATCTCTGGAGAACCCTAAAATACACAGTATGGCATTGATTCCATCCCAAAGAATATTTAGAGTTGGGCAAGGGTACTAACAGAATTGAGGATGGTGCTTCTCATGCAGGGCTCCTAGTACTAATTGATCTGTAATTATCCTGATTTTTGTCCATTTGAGTTTTCTATATGTCACTGGTCTTGACAAATGGTGGAGTCAAATTTTTCACTTATTTATTAGTATATTAAATTAATCTTTTCTTGAAACTTCTTCAATTAGTTCTGTACCTAACCTAACATTTTCATTTTTATTACTACTTTTTATCCTATTCTTATTAATATAAAAATTGATAAATCACTAAAATTGGAATTAGCTATATATCAACCGTATCCTTTGGAAAATCTCTTAGAGACAAAGGAATCATAAGTAAAATCAATAAGTAAGAAAACATATTCACTTGCAAGATTCAAGTGCAATTATTTCAATATATCAGAGTTCTCAAAATATATAGCACCAATAGAAATATAAGTGTGTGTATATGAATAAAAATATAAAAAGAATATATACACACACACATACACACAAACATACCATGTAGGTATATATTCTTTTATATAAAATTTATTGTACGGTATTAGATTAAATGGTTGAAATTGAGAAGTTCCACAATCTGCTGTCTGCACTCTGTAGATCCAGGAAAGCTAGAAGAGTAGTTGAAAGACATGAGAGTTAGAGAGTCAATGGTATAGATTCCAGTATGAATTTAAAGAACTAAGTAAGCACTGAGAATAGAAGATGAAAGTTAGCTCAAGCAACCAGGCAGAGTTAATTCAACTTTCATCCATCTTTTTGTTTTATTCAAGTCCTCAATGGATTGGATGTTTCCTGTAACATACCAATCGATTGTAAACTTATCAAGAAACATATTCACAGCTACATTCATAGATAATATTTAACCAACTATCTAGGTATTCTGAGGCCAAATCAAGCTGACATATAAAATTATACATTACATTTAACAATACTTTTAGTATTTTAGAAAGTCAAAGCAAATATAATTAAATGATTATAGCATATAGTATCCACAATATTTTAGGATGAATATAATTGTTCACATTTTATGATAAAGAAAACTGAATTAAACTGAATGAAATGTGTGACATTTCCAAAGCACACAGAATCTGGCAAAGTTACATAAAACTGTCTTCATCAAGCTGCTTTTTGGTTATGAGAGAATAAATTAAGTTTAAGAAATGCCTTCTGCCTGCATTTCTTGCCAAATGCTGTATTCAAATCAATAACTGAAATTGAAACCAGACTTTGCTCTTAAATATTATGCATAATTTTTATAGTTGGACCAGAGAAGATGGTCTTCTTCGTTTGATAAATATTTTTCAAAGTTTCAAACACTTTGAATAGACTGTAGTCCAATGTATGATCTCAACTAAGGGACACTAGATAGGTGATTTTGGGGGCTTTGATTTTCTCATCTATCTAGGGAAGTCAAGTGTGGTCACTGGTAAGGAAAAGGTACTGTTTCTTCCCTTGAATTATTTTACCACCTGGAGGTTGTTGTAACATTAGACTCTCTATGTGACTCATCTCTTCTGCCAAAATGGAGGAGTGATTTAATCATCTAAGTGGTAAAATTGGAAGAATTTGGGATTGCATTGCTAAACCTTAAGAATCCCTCACTTCTCTTAAGGATCTAACATCCAAAAGCAGTCTGGTTTGCTTTTGGCCTGTTTTAAGTTTAGCAGAAATTGATATCTGGCTACATTCTTTAAAGGCACAGACATAATCAAAAGAAGAACCAGAAACAACAAATACACACACACACACACACACACACACACACACACACACTAGGAAGCTGAAAGAATGTGAGGAAAAAACAATATAAATAAGCTGTAAGCTAAATGTCTCATCCTTCATGTTGGAGCCAACAGTACATCTTAAAGTTGACAAATCAAGAAATTAAAGGTAAAAAGGCAATTGGAATTAAAAATATAATAAGCAGAATTTAACAGAAACAGTGAAAATGAATTTATTTTTGATAAGTAGGACTTGAGTACAGGACCAGGGAGAAATATTGAAATTTTTATTTCCAAGTACATGTATTATTTTTAAGAACATCAATAATAATTAGCATAAAAATAAGGCTGTAAATATTCAGGACCAACAATGTCCATCCTGGTGGGAAGAGCACAGTTATAAGAGAGATGTAATTACCATTTCTATTCAGCATCAGATGTTGGATGTTATTCAGGAGATTAACAAATATAAAGTTCCTCTTTGATGGTCAGTTCTAGAACTCTGGAACAGTTATTCAAAAAGTATAGTCTGCAGACCCCTGGCAGGTCTGATCCCCTCCAGGAAGTCTGTAAAGTCAAAACTATTTTCAAAAAATAATACTAATTGATTATGTGCCTTTGTTATTGTGGTAGTATTTTCATTGGTGGTACAATAGCAATAATAAACATTCAGTGCTTCAACATAAGTAAAGGCAGTGGGATCATTAGTACTAACATTATTGTTTTCTTTATCATGCTAGTCTTTTTAAAAAGTTGGAGTCACTTGACGTTTAGCTATAAAAAAGTCTGAAGTTATGTTAGTTGCTAGAATATGGATGGAATTGCAGGACATTACATTAAGCAGAATAAGTCAAAATCAGAAAGACAAGTGCTAAATTTTCTCTCACATGTGGAAACTAGAAGAATAAAATGAAATAAGTGGGATTTTCATGAAAGTACAAAGGAAATCATGAGGGTAGGGGAAAGTGATCAATGGGAAGGAGGAAGGGAGAGTTAGGAGAGGTATTAAAGAGTAAAATTTCTGTCATATTCATGTATGAATATGCCACCACAAAACACATTATTTTGTATAATTAGTATATACACCAATAAAAATCGTCAGTCATATTGAAAAAAGAAACCCTTGGCAAATAATTAGAATTATTAATATACTTCAACCCTTGAGTGCATGTCTCTTTTAAAAATATATATGACAAAATACTACTTTTGCCTATAGCATTTCTGCTACTTAGTAGATAGTTATCTAGTGGAAAAGCTCTTGGGCAATTGTTTGAATTGTAAGCTGAACTAGTCACTTTATTCTTGGAATGTCATTACTTGAAAAAAGAATTGAAAGAGAAGTATGATTATTCAGACTTGATACAATGGCAGGCATTTTCTTGAAATGAACAAAGTGAGCCTTTCAGTTCAAAGAAA